CCTCAAGGCGAGCCTCATATTGCGCAATTTTAAACCATGCTTACTGGAAAATTAATAGATATTATGATTCATAGGAAGTTAAATATTCTGTGCATTCAAGAAACTAAATTGGTTGGAGAGAAGGCTAAGAAGATTGATAATTTATGTTTTAAACTTTGGTATTTGGGTAGGAGTCGTACTAGAAATAATGTATGTGTGATTATAAATAAAAGTTAGAATTATAATATTATAAAAATTAATAGAATTGGAGATAGAATTATAGCTTTAAAGATTATTAATATTATAAGTGCTTATGCGTCTCAAATAGGTTTAGATATGAGTTCAAAATTAAATTTTTGTAATGACTTAAAAGAATTAATACAAAAGATACCTCTTGAAGAAAGAGTTCTTATTGGAGGAGATTTAAATGGACATGTTAAAAAAGAGGTAGATGATTTTAAAAGCATTCATGATGGTTATTGATTTGGAACGACAAATGAAAGTGACAATACCATATTAGATTTTTATTTAGCTTATGATTTTTAATTGCTTTATGGTGCCGAATGTTGGCCATTAAAAGAGAAGCATAATACTAAGTTAAGTGTGGCAGAGATGAGGATGCTTAGATGGATGAGTGGCTTTACCCTTAGAGATAGGATACGAAATGAGCATATACGTGAAAAGGTTGGAATAGCTCCAGTAGAAGATAAGATTAGAGAGAGTCGCCTTAGATGGTTTGGTCACATAAAAAGGCGGCCTTCCGACGACCCAGTTAGGAGAGTAGAGGTATTAGATTTGACTTGTGTTAAGAAAGGTAGGGGTAGACCTAAAAAGACTTGGTTAGAAAATATTAGGAATGACCTTTCTTTATTAGATTTAAACGAGAATTTGGCTTTTAATAGGACACAATGGAGAAAAAGGATTCATGTAGCCGACCCCGCGTAGTGGGATAAAGGCTTGATGTTGTTGTTGTTGTTGTTTATGATTTTTAATTGCTAATACCTTATTTAAGAAAAGAAATGAGCATCTTATCACTTATAAAAATGGTTATAATAGTATAATACAACTTAAATTGACTATTTTCTTATAAGAAAATTAGATCGTTTAGATTGCAATGATTGTAAAGTTATTTCGAGTAAAAATTTATGTATCCAACATCAAATATTAGTTTTGGATTTTAAGATAAAATGACAGAAAATAAAAAATAAAGTAAAATGATATTCTAGAATTAGATGGGAGCATTTAAAAATATTTTTTAGAGTAAGATTTTAGATCTTAAAATTTTATCTGTATATGATGATGCTAATGTTATGCAGGAAAAAGTGGTTAGTGATATTAAGAATATTGTAAAAGATGTGCTTGGAATTTCAAATGGAAAAGCTCCTAATAGTAAAAATAGTGGTGGAATCCAATTGCACAAGATAATATTAAAAATAAGAATATTTGTTATAAAAATTGGTTTAATTGTACAAACTCTGATAATTGGGAAAGATATAAAGAGGTGTACTGTAAGGAATCTAAGAAAGCAATATGCGATGCAAAGACCTTATCTTTCAGTAATTTATATAATATATTAGATATTAAGGAGGGAGAAAGATATATGTATAAGTCAGCAAAACAAAAAGAAAGGAGTAGTAAGGATTTAGTTCAAGTGAAGTGTATTAAGGATGAAGATCAAAAAATACTTTTTTAGAAGATGATATTCAACAAAGGTGGATGAGATATTTTGCTAAATTTTTTAATGAAGAATGTGAAAATATGATTGACTGAAGTGACCTTAGCACCTGAAATGAAAATAAAGATTTTTGTTTTTATCTGCGTATTAGTAAAATTGAAGTTATAGATGCTTTAAAAAAAATGAAGTGTGGAAAAGCTATTGGACCTGATGATATTCTAATAGAGTTATGGAAATATTTAGGAGATCAGCCTTAAGCCCATATCTTTTTGACGAAATATTTCCCTATTTCGGTTCGGATACATCAAGGATCAACCTTAACCCATATCTTTTTGCTTTAGTCATGGATGTTCTCACTAGACATTTGCAAGAGGATGTACCTTGGTGTATGCTTTTTGCTGACGATATTCTTCTTGTCGATAAGAATATAGAGGGAGTTGAAGGTAAACTTGAATTATGGAAGCCAACCTTAAAGTTTAAAGGTTTTCGCTTGAGTAGATCTAAAATAGAATATATGGAGTGTAATTTTAGTAATAATAGACCTAGTGAGGGGATTGTGACTTTGGGCGATCAAGTCATTAATAAGAGTTCACGCTTTATATATCATGGATCTATTGTTCAGAGTGATGGTAAAATAGATGGGGATATTATCAACAGAATTCAAGTTGGATGGTTGAAGAGGAGGAATGCATCGGGCTTGTTGTGTGATAAAAAAGTACCCCTCAAACTTGAGGGAAAATTCTATAAGATGGTGATGAGGCCTGCAATACTTTATGGTGCCGAATGTTGGCCACTAAAAGAGAAGTATAATACTAAGTGTGGCAGAGATGAGGATGCTCAGGTGGATGAGTGGCTTTACCCTTAGAGATAGGATACGAAATGAGCATATACATGAAAAGATTGGATTAGCTCCAATAGAAAATAAGATTCGAGAGAGTCGCCTTAGATTGTTTGGTCATATAAAACGACGGCCTTTGGATGACCCAGTTAGGAAAGTAGAGGTATTAGATTTGACTTATGTTAAGAAAGGTAGAGGCATACCTAAAAAGACTTGGTTAGAAAATATTAGAAATGATTTCTCTATTAGATTCAAATAAGAATTTGACTTTTAATAGGACACAATGGAGAAAAAAAGATTCATGTAGCCGACCCCACGTAGTGGGATAAAGGCTTGATGTTGTTGTTGTATTATTTAAAGACCTAGTCCATCATTCTTCAACAAATCACCACTAAAATCTTTAGGCTAAATGACTACTTCGTAGCAATAAGGGCCCTCACCTGTGATAAAGGAGGTATTCTTGCAGTCGTCTGAATACATTCTGATTTAATGATAGGCAAAATTGATACTCATTACTCAAAATCAAACGATTAAGTCCATGAGCAAGTTAATTCTAGAGATTAGATATCTATTATGAGGGCAAAATCTCTGTGTAGTGTTATATCTTAAAGTTAATGTCTTCTGAAAATTTGACCAAGGACATTTATTCGCTAAAACTCACCTCAAAAAATATGCATGGAGATACCGTGGTGCAAATTTTTGAATATTTGAAGCCCACTAGGCATCTAAAAGCATAATTGTGCACATCTATAATTTTAGTTATTTATCTAGACCAAGCTCTTTAAATATATATATATATATATATATATATATATAAAAACAATTAACTATAGATATGACATTTGTGCAAAGACATGATTCTCATGCGTTTCGGTGAAATGAATTGCATTGTCACATTGAAACGCCAAACTTACCCATAAAGGGTACATGTATTGCAACCCCCAACCTCATAAGACCCTCTCTCCCATCCCACTTGCCATTACTAGTGTAAACTCTTCATACTCCTTCACGTATTCACAAGCCACCCGAGAACCCCTCACGCCTCTTTTACAACTCTTATGTCAACCCATGCAAAATTCCATCACCGACCATGTTCCCACTCTGTTCCCAAACCCATTTCTATTTAGCTGACAGCAGCATCTCTCCTCTCGCCTCTCTATTCCCATGCTACCTCCCAATGTCTCTATTCCCATGCTACCTCCCAATGTCTCTATTCCCATGCTACCTCCCAACGTCGACATGTTCCCCTAGCCAGCCACCTTCCAACGCACACCTCTCCATATCTTCTTCTTCCAATGTCAATTGCCATCGACGTTGTTATCTTACAGTGACACATTGACGAGTTACATTGACACCCCAATGCCATTGCTCTCTCTAGCTACTCCTCAAATCAACACCACTGCTCTCTTTTGTCTCATCTGCTTCATAGTCACACCTCTCTAACAAACCTTACTCAACACCTAAAACATCCTGAAATCCAACTTTTCAACCCCACCTATGTTTTCTTCTCCAACAATAACTCCCTCTAACACTCCCTCCTTAACACTCTTTATCTCCCTCCCTCCAACAATCTCTACTCTCTCCCCCCACTGCCTTTTTTATCAATACCACTCTCTCTCTAAAGAAGAAAAGAGAAGTTTAAGAGAGAGAGAGAGAGTTGAATGTTTTCACCTCACAAATTCATCGTTTCGATATTTGGAATGACAACTTAAAATATAACTTATTGAAAACTACAATTTATGATTTTAATGTGATGATTATCACACTATATTTAACAAAATTATTCCTCATAATTAAAACCGGGGATATTTTTAACAGCTCACTTTGCTCATGAGAGCATCTGGCACTGGGGAATTAGGCAGCCATGACAACTTGAGAGCACCTAGCACTTTTCATAACATTAATTTCAACTATAAATTAAGGGAATTTTATTCGAAGTTGAGCTTTATTTTAATTAGATTTATTTCAGTATTTTTATTGGTATTATTTGCCAGTATGTAGCAACCCTGCATACAATATTTGATCAACTAGAATCAAGTGATATTCCTCCTAAATAATTCCCCATACACTAATTTAATAAAATTCAGGTAAAAGTACATCAATAGTAACACTAAGAATACTCTCGCTAGCTGCAAAACAGCTCAATCTCAAATTTGGTGGCCAAGTCTGGAAGCCCATTCAGCTTCGATTTGACCTGAATTCAAATGGATAAATCAAATGTTCAATCAATAGCACCAAATTAAATCAACATTAACACATTATAGGCACCACACAGTCTCTCACTATTTGAGTTTTAAAAAACTGCTTAGAAGAATAGTCAAGTTGAAACCATCAACATGTAAATCAAACATAGCCTTAAGCCACAATTCATAAATGTATCCCTTAAATATGATACTATAAAGAAGAACAAAATTATGGCTAGAAGTTTATAAATGGATAATTAAAAATGAAAGACTAATTCAAATTAAACTACATAGCATGTCAGCATACTTGGATTCAGAAACATACCAAAGAATTGAGTGAATATGCGAGTGAAAAAATTCAAATTCCGTGATACATTGTATGCCATAGCTGGAGGAAGAGGTTTCACAAGGGTGTCAATGCTAAAAACTCGTTGCAGAAACTGCAGAACAAGAAAAATTCGTCATAAATTCTGTAGTTAGGTATCATGGTTGAGAAAAACAGAGCAGGAAGAAATGGCTAAATATCCTAGTCCATTATGACAATTGCTGTTGTTAATCAGTAAATGAAAACAAGTTTCTAAAAGAAGAAAGCGCCACACCCTGGCACACTGAACACCCAGCCCAGAAAAGAAACGAGAGCTTAAAAAAAGTAATAAACCTTACATAAACTCTTAACATGCCAGATTCATTAAAGGCAAGAAGCTTGAGATGGATGCATCTAGTAACAGTGATAGCAATCAACAACAAAGTGGGCATCTTTGTTTGGCTTGCCTCCTCCATATGCCCCTTTTACCATGTGTTACTGTACTTCATCCCTTATCATTCATTCACTTGGATTCTGAAAGTTAGTGCAATCAAAACTATAGGGTATCACTACACGATGCCACATATACAAGTTTCAGTCAAGCCAGCAGTTAACCAGCAAGGATTTCGAGCAGCATAGAAGCAATCATTAAGTGTTTATGTTGTCTATTGAAATTATGCATGATCATCACAAATTTCTTCTAGCACAATGTTTTTTAGATGTATTTCATATTAGGGCTCATCTAGCGGCTTGAAGATGAAACATGTGTTTTAAAAATTGAAAATATTGGTTCTACATATTTTAAGTTGGATATTAAAATCATGACTCTGATGAAAGTTTTAGGAGGCATGTAGAGTTTTATTTTTTTCCCATTTTAAAGGGTGCAATATAAGGAATTTCGAGGAGCTACCCATCTTAATAACACACTTGCTTAAGCATGCTTAACTGCAATGTTTTTATAGAATCAAGAGCACAAATGCCGGTATGGTTGCAAACAAAAATCAATGTTAATGTCCAACTACATCCAACAAAATGAGCCTCAGACTTGTAGAAAGTATGTGTAATCAAAGTTTAGGTTATATAGAAAATAAATTAATTTAATACTAAAACTCAATGATTGGGATTCTTTGCAGCAAATGACTCTTCGTGAAGTGTTGCATTTGATCAAGTTGCCTTTATAAGAATTTTACATTTCCATGCATACCTCAGCGCTTTGTTCATCTAGATTGATAAAAGTCTTCATGTTGATGACAACTGGTGAGCTAGAGTACCATTCTCGCTCTGAGTAGAAGTTTGTGTAGAGTTTTTCCATTGCCCGTAAAGGAGAGAAAGGTTTCCCAGCCTTGTGATGGTCAGAGTTGTGAAAATCTCAAAAAGACGACTTAAAGAGTGGACATAGGCAATTAATGCCAAACCACAATATATAGATTTGCACTTCTTTTACTTTATGCACAGCTACATGCATTATTTTCTTGCTTTTACTACTTTATGGTGTGATGGAAAATATGTTGACATGGATCTTGCATGTTGTACAAGTTACTTGAGAAACTTGCTAGAATAACTTTTAATACAAAACATTATTTAAAAAAGGATCAAAAGTAGATTGCTCTAGCATTCTTGATGAATTCGAATATAATGTTTGAACATCATTTTCTTGTTTCTAGAAGAAAAGAAAAATAAAAATTATTTGCTTAAAATAATTTTTTAAAAATTCCATGCTAATTATGCCCCTTTTAGGTATGACGTAATTTTCAATAAGTGTCATAGCAAGTTTCTTTGCTTAAAGGTTTTATCACCTAAAGTAGATCCACATGCAGACTATAGAAATAGAAGGATCACACAAGAGTATTCTATTGTTGGATCCATTGTTTAAAATTGTGCAATATGAAGCTTGGCTTGAGACCCGCCTCAGAGCAATTCTAGTGAAAATTATCTCGAGGCTTATGCCTCTAGCTTTTATTATGAGACTTGCACCTCAACTTGGCTGAGGCCCGCCTCACCTCACTAGCATGAGGTTTTCGCCTCACCCTATTTGTATATTTTTTGTTAAAACTAACATAAATCATGCCTTTATGAACATTCGAGCCGGAACAACTTCCTCTCTGCTGCCTCTACCTCTAGCCCGCGGCCTTCGCAACAGCCAACACCGTTATATTGCCATTGCGATCAATTGAAAACCGTAAACCAACATCCTAAAAAATTTGGAGCATTAATCTAATTTTCTGTTGATGAAAAACATTTATAAAAGATGAACATAATTGAAATAAATTAAGAAGCAAATTGCGAGGAATTCGACTCCACCAGATGAGGCAGGGGATAGACAAATTTGTTATGACGACAACTCAAATAAGGATCAACTTAGTGATGACAGTGCAAATGATTTATGAGTTGTTGCCAACTATTTCAGTTTTTGTTACGAATTAAATATAAATGAGTAGGAAATTGAGAAAGAAAAAATTTGGAGTTGAACTTGATGTTATATAATACTTGTTTTATAATTTTTATATTTAATATTATTTTACTCTTATAATATTTAGATTTCAATTCTATTTCACGCAATTTATCACTTCTCACTATATATCTTGTGCAATTTTTTATTTCATATGTATGCCAATTTATTAATTCATAACTCAATCGGAAGTTAATGTCATCATTTAACATATTATTTATGTATTATATAAAAAATTATTTTTTACCTTCATTTTCATTATACGCAATTTTTTTTTATTTTAAAGCTTACTCCTTAAAACTCCTTCAGGCCTACGCCTGGCCTCACAAACCAAAAACATCTTAATACTTGATTGCGCAATTTTAAACCTTGGCCCAGATCACCACTATTTGATGACCTCTATTTTGACCATTAGAAAATTAGAATCGTAACCTTCATTCAATCTATTGACTAACATATGTGAAATCAATTAAAGTTGAATACATGCTTCCAAATAAATTTATATGTTGTAAACACGCAGGCATTCCTTTGATGAATGGATGCAAGAATATGAGTGGTCACAATTAAATTCTAAATGTTTAAACTATTTTTCTGTACCCTGAAGTTTGATAATTACATGTGTTTTTAATTATTAGAATATCAAAGAGATATGAGATTGTCTATATATCACTTATGAAGACACTAATAAAGTAAAACAATCTCATATTAACATACTCACATGATATAAATTGTTTCACACTCAATCAAATCAGACTAATTTCTGATATACACACAAGATTTACTAAAACTGTTGCATCCTTACATGTACTTGTTAAAGAGTATTCTAATATAGAGAAAGTAAACAAAATTTTGGATGTCTAACGAGTTCATGGGATGCAAAGGTTACTGCCTTTTTTATGTCTAAAAATTTAGCTATTTATTATGATGACATTTTTCTTGGTTCTCTAATTACATGTGATCCAAAACTTAGCCAAAGAATCAGAGCAAATTGTACTAGAAGTTCATGAATCTGACACGGTGAGATAGACATGTCAAGCAATGAGATGTAATTCTAATTACTATAAAGTTTAACTTATTTCTCAAGAACAAAAAAGAAGAAATTTCATGACAAAAAAGGGATAAGAAGAAAGATAAGATATATTGAAATCTAATGTTGACATAATTAGTTTTGAATGCAAGAAATCAGCTCACATAAAGTGAGGGACTATCCAAATATTGAAGGCTCGACTCAGACTAAAAAAATCAGAGGATAGAGACGAGGCTAAGAAATTGTTACGCCGGCCCAGGAGGGGCCGGCTGGACCGGTCCACTGTTACTCCAGGCGGAGAAAACAGTCGGGGCGGAAGGCGTGAGGTCCACGTAGGCAGCGTGGGGGGAGATTAGGAGGGAAATTTTGAATGATAAGGCTATTTTAGGAAGTTTATTATTATCCTTTATGATTAATTTTGTATAATTAGGAGTTTAGGGGGGGGAATTTGGATCTTATCTTGAATTTGAGTTTTCTCTTTGAGATCTAGGTTTTGTTTTGGGCTCTTGGCTTCGCCGGAGACTTTGGAGAGTACGTTCTTCCTCTCGAATTGAAGAACAAATTGTATCTTTGCAATTTTATTCGTCTACTAATAAAATACTAGCCTTTGCTTGCATTGGATCTCAGTTTTCTCGCGTTTCCTCACTGTTTTCCTGTGTAAAACTGCTGTCCACTGCTGGAGACAGCAGTTTTTCCCTGATTCCACTTCAGTTTTGGTTAGGAATTACTTGATTTCAAGTATTTCCTATCAGAAATCCAAAAAGAATTTTTGTAGCAAACCTAAAGAGAAGATCAGGAACATGTGCTTAATGGATTAGGATGAACCAGGAGAATCAGACCCCACGTAGGTATATGGCCTTTCTTATTTGATTTGCTTTTAATGGCTAAAAATTTAAATAACTGTTTCAAATTTCTTAGAAAAACGTCTATGAAAAAGAATTATGCATGCCTACAAAAAGAACATAGTATGTTCTTGCAGGAGCTATATTAAGATAGAAAAAAAATTAGAAGAAAAGGACACCTTGTGTATTGAATTTGTATATATATATATATATATA